CCCCAAAACCCCAAAACCCCAAAACCCCAAAACCCCAAAACCCCGGGTGGAATAATTGAGCAAAAATATCAGATTAGGAATAAAAATCATAAAAATAAACTATAAATCAAATAAAAGATATAGATGATTTTGTTTTCAAGTGGGATTGAGGTTGATGAATTTAATAAAAACTAATTCAGCTATTATCATTATTGTTCATGGTGTTATCTAAGATTCACTACTTCATCAAAGCTCCTATAATCAGTGATATAATGGCCACTAAGAGTACATGCAGCAATTGATATCCCTGATTTCCTTTACTTCCGGCTCCAGCGCCAGCGCCACCTTCTGGTTTTTCAAAGTTGAGTGCTGAGTTCTTTAGTTTTAATAGGTCTCTATTATCTTTCAGTCTGATCAGTTCCTGCTAAAGCTCAGCCAGTTCCCTCTAGTTCTCAACTAGTCTTTTATAACTTAAGTCATATTATTCATATGGATCAGAGGATGACTGCTATATTTTAGATTCCTCTATTCTAGATGCTGAATGACTATTTGCTGGTTGGTAAACGCTTCCACTAGAATCAATATTATGCTAATTGTGCTATCTTACACCATAGTGTTTCTGGCTGACTAATCTTCAATCTTGCTGGCTCTTGGGTCAGGAAGCGAGCCTGTCCTTGCTGATTACTGCTATACCTCAACTTTCAACTTATACTGCACAATTTAATCCTTTTTACACTGCTTTAACATGCCTCCTATCACCTCTCCCTATATATCAATACAGTTAATATCTCTTCAATATCTGATTTATTTATTCGTGTTAGATTTTTGCAATCATCGTTGATGACTTACAGTGAGATCTGCATTATCTTTAGATGTTACTGCTAATTGCACTAAAAACTTATCCGTCAAAATACTCTAAGAATTCTATATTCACAATTAGCAAAGCTTAGCTATTTCCCTACCTGAGCTAGGTTGACCTAGCATATGATCTTGACAATAGTTTATTTATCTGGCTCAATCACTCCTTGATTTGGCCTGACAATGTAGTTGTTTGGCTCAGTGGTCTTCACCTTGAACATAATGTAGTCCTTTGATTTATTATTGATCTCGATCTGACTAGCACTTTTACCATCTTCTTTCGCCTCCCTAAAGATCACTGCGTTGGGAGGATTCAGGTAAACCATCTTCTTCCAGTCTACCATCCCTGACTGACCAGTACCAGACTTAATTTCCATTTTGATTTCTTAAATGTTTTAATAAAAGGTGAGATAATTATAATTAAATATTTTAATTAAAATAATAGAAATTTAAAGCATTTGATAAGAGCAAGTTTGCAAAAATGTCACATCAAGATTAAATTGGTTAGATTCACGATTCCCGCTGCAAAATTCACTAGACTGAGGAGATCAAGGCCTTCTGTAAGAACGATCTATGCTCCATATGCTTCAAGTGCCTCCTTGGAGAGCATCGTAATCACGATGTGGTCATGCTTGATGAATTGAAAGTTGATGACTTGAAAGATAAGGTCAGTCAATTCCAAGATAAGGTAGAGGACCAAATTAATAAGCTTGGGAACATCAGAGAAAAAGTCTCCTCTATAAAAGAAAACTACGATAAAAAATTTAATGATCTGCAGAATTAGTTCAAAGAGGTGGAGAACCTCTTCTTGAATGGCTACTTTGAGCAATAAACTCTGGGGGATCTCAAAAATAGCAAATAGAAGTAAAAGGACATTATAACAAAGATAACAAACATTCTTGACAATCTAGACAAGCTACGCAAGGATGTTCAGTTCCTGAAAACTAATTCAGCTGAGTTTGAGTTTTTCAGTTTCGAAAGTATAAGGAGCTCTCTCGAGTAGATCAGCAAAGACCTGATAGGAGAGGAGCGAGAACTGAGGAAACTCTCATGCAGGATTGCAGATTATTCAAATGTAAATGTGGTCGAGAAGTACTCTGAACTCCTGCAAAACACCTTCATACTCAAGAAAAGCTATAGCTCTAGCAAGTTTGTACATTATTTCGAATGGGGTACAAAAAATATCCACTTCTATGATGTTGATAAATAAGTGGCGCACAAGGTAAATTTGCGAACTGAGTTTAATATTCCCAAATTCTGTCGGACTGTGGTTACCGATGAAGGCAGAGTCTTTTGTATTGGAGGCAGACATCAAGATAATGTCTGCTGTGACTGGATGATGGAATATATAGATACAAAGTAATTGCTAATTTACAGGTCACCCTTGCTATTTAGAAGATCAGATTTTACTGCTCTGTACTCAGAAAGAGGACTGGTCTTTGTGATTGGAGGAAATGATGCCAAATCCTTCTACACAGCTTGTGAGAAGTATGATATATAAAACGATACCTGGAGCAGGATAGCTGATCTAAATGTCGCTAGGGATTCAGCAGCTAGCTGCATTTTTAATAACAAATATATCTACGTCTTCTCAGGCAGGACAAAGTTCGATAAGAAAGAGATTACAGATACTATTGAAATGTATGATATTGATTTGAACCTGTGGAGACTAGTCAATCTCCATGCTAAGAGCACATGGACTGCTTGTGATCTAGCAATGTGCATGCCAATCGATAGCAAAACTATTCTAATATTCGGAGGGTTCGATAAAACAGTGAGGACCTAAGAGTGCTTCTAGTTCAATGTGGAAAACAATCAAATGGAAAGAGACTCTTATCTTCCAAAAGTGGGTTCATTTTCAAATTATGTCTTCAACTACGATGCGTTTTTGTATGTTGTAGGTTGGAACAACTCAAATAAAAACCTCTATGTTTATAATATAATGGAGAGAACCTGGAAGTTAGAAACTAAGTTTGCGCTTTGAAAGTGATCAGATTAAAGATAGTTATGTTAGCATAAAGTAAAAGACTGGTAGTCCAAGTTCGGACAAAATTAGAAAGTATTATTCATGTAACAAACAATAAAATTTTATTAAATTTGCACATTCACTTGTTTTCTTCGGTATTCGATTCCAGGGGTTTTGGGGTTTTGGGGTTTTGGGGTTTTGGGG